AGGAATTTGATTGATTGGTGTCCTTATTTTTCAGAAAATTTGCATATTTATTGAGTTATAAACGAAAAACTACAAACCGTCCATATACTCCTATCTTACTCTCTGGCTATTATAACGGACATATTACATTTGCTGCTCCCTCTAGGTGCTCGTATTACTTCGCTTTATAGGTGGGGGTGGGGGGTATGAGTGACGGCGAAGGGAGGAAAGGTTTCAAAATTTTGTCTTTAAGATCCCTTTACTACTATAATATGCCAAACGGGTACTATAACTTACCAAAAGGGCGCTAAGAACGGTGACATACGAGCGCATCATTAATTCAAAGATTCTGAACCTTACCTAAATATAATACGTATATAATACGTTCAAAAGGATTGAATAATCGAGAAGTTTGTTTCCTTCCTGAAGAAATCCCCAAGCGGAAAGCATAAATTTGATCGAGCGACGAACCTTGATGATTTCACGTGTATGCCACGCGTGTACCTATATGACGAATCTCAACGCGCAGCACTTTTAGCAGGCTTTAAAAACAATTTTCTAATAAACTTTCTCGTTTGTATGTATAGTTTGTCACTAGACCCTCGGACGCGCGAACTATCAAATTATGTGCGTAATGGTGCATCGACGTTTGCAAGTAGAGTCAGTCTCCCTCCCTCCGTCGAGTAGAGTGACGCAATGCCAAGAGCTTGTATCGGTGCATCAGCTCGTTGCATCGAGGCATCGCAGTTACAAGTGCAAGTTCAAGCTCGGCCTGGCCTATTCAAGCGATAAAAAAACTACTCGGAGGTGTTTGAAAACAAAAAAGTAGGAAAAATGTTAAATATTTAAACGCGAGGGTGTCGTTGATTAAACGGTGCTGATATCGAAATTATGCGAGCTGCGGCAATTCCTTGGCTTTTCGTTACTTTTCTTATCATTTTTGCGGCCTTTAATGGTATGTTTATGACTTTTTTTGCTTCTTCTTTGAAATTTTGAGCAGTACAATTCATGTTTTTCTTTTTCTTTCTTGGGATTGCAAAGATGCAGAAGAACTGAACGTCAAGTGCGTGCCAAAGACTCGATTCAAATTTTACTGCAACACTTGTTGGTGCTCCGAAGAGGGAATCACGAGGCTCTGCACGAAGAAATATTGCCCGGAAAATATCTTCAATCGTGATGGTTCGTTGAAGGCACCGATAAACATTCACGACAAATTGAAGGTTTCTCCGTTTAGTGTCGACGATGTGTATTACTATACCTGATTTCGATCCATAGTTTGAAAATAATTGTGAATCAGATACTTTTGTATTCATTTATGATTTTTTCAACAAAACAAAGGTTATAAAATATTTTGCAAATTATGCTTATAAAAAATTGTATGTATTCCGACTTCTATTCTACGATTATATCGTTATCAATTTTTAACATTAAACGGGCGTTTTGAAATAAATATAATAATTTTATAATTCAATCGTGACAAAGTTGCAAAATGTGATTACTATCATCGAAACATAAGGTCACTTAGAATATACTCTGAGTGCAGAATTAGTCATGAAATTTTAGCCCTATGTGTACTACCGCTGTCTAAGTTCCGGACTTCCGCGAATGTTTTATATACCCTTCGTCATCACCAGAGCGGATTGGATTTTCCCGTTATGAGAATGTGCATTTTGTAATAAAGGAAACAATTATATATCCCTGCTGTTTATGAGTAAAAATACACCTTAACGAAGTAACGTAAAAAAAATCACATCTTATAAGATGCTGCAAAGAAAAACACACCTTAGTGAAAAATAATGATATTTTCGACGTGATTCGTTAAATCGTGATTCGATAATACGTTTTTTTTCGCGGTATTTCATTGAGGTGTGTTTTTCTCTACAGCGTTTCAGTGAGGTGTGTTTTTTTCACGGCATTTTATAAATAGGTTTTTTAAGACGTTTTTCACTGGGTTTTTACTTATAAATAGCGGTGATATAACACAAAATTCATTTTTAAGAGTTTTATTTTGCAATAATGAAAATTCTAAAAACGTTCTTAAAATTATCATTGATCCGCATTCGCGTCGGATATCGACTTTATCCATTTCCGATTGGGAAACAAATTCATTATGATAACTCGCGGGCGCTGATCGTTCGTTGATAATATATATATACACGCCGCCGCGGATACATCGACAGTCGACAGATCGTGATTTTCGAGTCGACTCGTTCGGCGTCAGATGTCGTTGATGGCGCGCCAAACAGCGCGTTCTCCCCGTATCGCAAAAGTCGCGACCTGCCACTCTACAGAAGCGAATGCGGATACAATCACCTCTCGCTCTGTGCGCACACACACACACACACACAAGCGCTTTCGCACACTAATAATCCTTTTCTATAAAGGCGAAACTCGCACACTCTTACGCGGCGGCGCCCACCGATACCTATACACACACACACACACAATCTATATCAACTATTCGGCCACAGCCGCGAACGATTCGCATCAAGCCAGTCTCCATCGTGCGTGCGCGCGCGCGTAACGTAACGTTTTATTTTTTCGGTGTTCGTCTCTTGCTTGTGTGTGCGTGTGCGTACATACACGCGCTACACGCACACAGTACACATAATATCGTAGCAAAGTGTATAGAGCATCGCGCACATCATTCCTCGCGAGATACATCTGTCATTATGGTGTATGTGTGTGTGTTTTAAAGCAAGTTGTTTGTTTGCGTGCATGTATCGGTGCGCGCGCGTGTGTTTGTGTTTACATGAGTGTCTGTGTTGTTGTTGTTGTGTCTTTTTGTCAGCGACGACGACGACGACGACAACTTCGAAAGTGCCGTGGGCTTTTTAAATTCGACGTTTCGAATATATAGCCTGAACATTGCATGAAAATCTCGCGCACGCCGTGTGTCTCAACAAGAGTTTCGCGCATACACGGACACAGCAGCGGAGCAGCGATGTAAGTCAGTGACTGCAGTCCCCGTGCCCCAGTATATCTGTACGAGAATGTATATTATAAAACACGCTACACACATAATATCGCATCGGCTCGAAGCGTGCGCTATATAATGCTCGATACATTTCGTAATCTTAATTGTTTTATCCGCGAGCAACGGTCGCTCTGCGGGCTGACTGTGCGGCTGGCCATCGCGGCTGCGAACGTATAATAATCGAGCAGCGTGCGATATTGTACAGCGCCGAGAGCAATAGCGACGTTAAACAACGATACAATACGAAACATATTGCACAGCGATCTATCATTAATCGAGAGCAACGCAGCAGCGGCAGCAGCATTCGAAAACCGAGCCGTTATTGTATGTGGACAGAAGTATCAAAGCGCTAGCAGTACACAATCGAAATCGCCGTGAGCACGCGATAATAACGATATAAAAGCGAATTGTAACGTATAGGTCGTAGATGCGGTCTTATTTGACAATACCATAGAGCATAGGATCAACGTTTACTTCAAGTTCTTAGCTCTCATTATATAGAATCGAGTTGTTAACTTATTTTTTTGCACGAAAAAGTGTTATCGCGCGCACGCACACTGACACATAACCTATAGCAATAAAGAGAATTAGCGAGTAGTAGTGCTCTGGGACTCGCGTTAAAAAACAGTCGTATTACATTTATAGCTGTCCAGCGAGACAGAGGCACGACTGTCGTTTCTCAAAATTTACCACACTCACGCCCACGCACACAAGCACATTAAGCACATAGAGATAATCTCGTATGCACGCACTCATTCATGGTACATGTGCACTCGGATAATGACGCATCCTCCTCCGCGCGCTAGCTCGCGACACACGATATCTCCGATTGCTAATAATGTATCGCGTATACGATATATATTTAATAAACGATGACTGGCAGTGCACACTGCACGCGGTACACGAGCGTCATATAGTGTCGTTCGTATGTGTTACATACGCATAAAGCGAGCTTCAGTCTCAGGAGCGCGGCGCGAAACGCGTTATTATCCGCAGGAATGAACCCAGCCTATTGTGCGTGTGTTAAATATGTGCAGCTGCACGTAATGCCTGTGAGTGTGTATGTGTGTGTGTGTGTGTGTCGTAATGACAAGCCTCCGTGCAGTCTCGCGAATACAACAACTGCTCGAGCCGAGCGTCGAGTTGCTCGTATGTATGTATGTTCCATGCTATATGCCAGAGAGATGTAAGCAAAACGCAACTCTACGGCTGCTGCTGCTGGAACATATTTACAAAAAAATTAAAACAAATAAAGAGGAAATAATTCATTGCATCGTCGTATTTTCTGATCGATTTGTCTTACATTTATGCATGTAGAATATAGATATATTATAATAGACGACGAGTCATGCTATTTGTATCCCCGCGATAAACATCGCTCCAATTGTAGTTCAAAGCTCCAGCACATCGATCAGTTTTTTTTTTTTGCGCGCGCGGCAACCTCGATTTCGTCTGCTATCGTACGTTACGCGCCGTATACACGTATGGTATAGTAGCGAAGTGCAGAGCGCAGCACAGTTGCTGCTACTCTTGCATACTTACCCCCTATAATACACGCGAGTACCTTTAACTAACGCACAAGCGAGTATCGAAATGAGAAAAAAGTGCTCGTTCGGTTACGCGATTACGTAATTTCGATGCAACTCTCTTCGGTCCAGATCTTCGTTTTTTTTTCATATATTGGGCAATCTCGAAACCTTTACGGATAGATACAACACGCTGCTCTGCTGCTCTCTCGCGCGCGCGCTCAGCTTCAAAGGGGGTTGGAAAATGCGGCGGCAGCGGCGACGAGTGTAGCGCAAGCGCGGCCGTATATTGACATTTCGCCTAGACTCGGCAGCAGCACATATACACACACACAAGCACACACATACAGATGCGCACAAGACACGCGCGTGCGAGAGGGTAGATTTTTTTGCTCACTCTCTCGCTCTCTCTTGGCTTTAAGGGGGGGGGGGTTGCTTCGGCGGCTGCTGCTGCTGCTGTTTCTACTCTCTTCCCTCGCGCATCGGCAGCAGCAGCAGCCCTTTCAGTGGCTCTCGGTCTTTCACAAGCGATGAATTGTCGTAGAATATAAGGCAGATGTTGCACGCGTCGTTTCGCGCAGCGCACACATAGTACGGTACAAACGTACGCGAGACAATCTCTCTTATACTCTTATATACCTCTACGCGTTCGCATCGTATACGTAATGTTTTCCCTCGACTAAACTAGATTACGACTATTATCTGCACACACGCACGCAACGCCGAATTATCATCTTCCCCTCTCTCTCGATATCGAGAGTCTCTCGGCACACGCCCACGCAAACGATTTTGGATTATTTGTTGGTAATTCTTTTGGCAAGTGTGTATAAAAGTTCGTTTACTGGATGACGATCGCGTGACTCTCGTGCGTTTCTCTATCTACTACCCCTCCGAAAAAAGAAAAGCCCTAGGTATCGTACAGTGTCTGCTGCTGCTGCTGCTGCTGCTGCTGCTGCTGCTGCTGCCGAGCGCGTGTTGGCGCGTACACATACGCGCGAATTTGTGCTTTGATGTAAGCGTGTATGTGTCTGTGCACGTGTGTGTGTGATAGTTGTGTGCGAAGAGGCCAAAGTTCGCGGCGCAAAGTTTTCGTAAACGTGTGTGTTGTATATTGCGCCGTTGCATCTTCGCTTTTGGTTTGGCCGACTTTTCGGCTTGGCTAATATACTACCCCACACGCGTATAACACACACACACACTACGGTAGGCCTTTGATGCAGGTGAGAACGACGGTTTAATAGCTCTTCATATATAGCTTTTTCCTCTCTCTTTCTACTCTACTCCTATTTTTTGCTGTACCCTTTCTTTTTCGTTTCTTCTTCTTTTTTTTACGAGCGCATGGCTATATATTAATATGCGGCAAAGTGAACTAGTTCTCGAGCTCCAAATATCATTTGCCGTATTTTATACATATATTTTTTCTCTGTAATACACGACTTCTGCACGCGTAGGTCTGCATTGTGCCACGCAGCTGCTGAAAAAATCTCTTCCTTGGATAAAAAAAAATCTCTCGATTTTCGTACGCGCGTTCACTCGCGCGGTCATAATCCAATGATAAGCTCCCGTTTGAGGGCATTACGCGTACGTATATGGTATTATTGTTTCGGAGTAAAAAGAACAAAGGTGTAATCAACGTAAAAGTTTTGTCGTACGAGTATCGACGAGAAAAAAGTGGGCAAAAAATTAAAAATATCTCTTTATCTCGCAAAAAAATAATTTAATTCGATTCCTCGCGGTCTTATCAATTTTACGATGCCATAGCACATTGCGTACACACCGCCGGTACCCATTTAATTATCTCGCTTTTTTTTCACTGAAATTATTTTTTCTTTATCTCGGGGATCCAATTGGGTAATGAATCACTTATATACGACCCAGCAGCAGCGGTGAACGTTGACTCTGTATCATAAAAAATAAAGGGCTCCACTGAATATCCCTATAACGATCATACGATATTATGCAAAAAAGCGCGTGCACACGTTTTCCTTATGCTGTTTTTTTTTTAAAGCCAGCTTGAAGCGTTATATATGCATAGGTGCGCGCGTTCATTAACCCTCGCTCGCGCGCCGCGTGCAAAAGAGAGTAAAGTAACTTTTTCCCTCTCCCTCCGCCTTATCTCTGATTTACAGTCCTTCTTACGTAATAATAATGAGTAGAAGGTGCCTGGCTGCTATACGCTATATAACGTGGTCGTGCTAAAAAACTGAAGTGCCTTTTGTACGCGCGTTCGTGCGACTGTACGTGTGTTTGTGTGTGCGGGGGGTAACAATTGTACCCGGAATATCAATTAGGAAGTAATTCAAAAAATGTATTGCTCTGTATATAGCTCGTTTCTTCGCGCGTCGCGCGTATCGGAGGAGGAGCGCACTTAATATTATTGCTTCGCACTTTCCGGCACAACTTTTTTAATCGATACATTTGTACGAATGTCGCGTGTATTCGTACTACATTCACTATACATGAGATCGGCGCGGGGTGAAAAATAAGAAATCTTCCCTCCGAACGAATGACTTCCAATTTTCCAGACTTTTTACTACATCGCATAAAATGGGGCTGCTGGCATAAAGAAAACACACACACACACACACACACACACACTGCAGCAGCACCGGAATTAGTTTTTTTCGAGTGTGCCGTGTAGCGCAGTGTATTATATCGATTGTCGTACTCCTCCCACGTACTTTTTTTCTCGCTCTCTATCTCTTCTCGTGTATGCGTACATGTATTATACACGCGCGTTCTCGTCTACTTGAAAAGATGGAGAGATACGTAAAAGTCATTCATTCGCGAATATGTAGAGGGCCACCCACGCGCAATTGCGGTTTTTACCAAAAAATAGAATGATAGAAAGCTTGCGTACCTCGCGCACGTGTATAAAATCTCTTCACTCTCTTTTTCTTTTATACGCTCGTAACTGTATGTGTGTGCGGAGCCTACTCTTTACCAGCGTTATAAACACACGATGTTTATATTTGCCTTGAAATAAGTCGAGCGTACTTAAAGAATTGCTCGAAATCTATTTTATTTTTTTGATACTTTTTATATTATCAAATCGTTAAAATCAGTTTTTTAAACGCTTTACGATCGCATTACTCGGCCGCTCTATAGTGCCGCTTGCGCGCAAGCTCGCTTTTACCCCGAAAAACAAGCCAAGCGCAAAACTCGCGCGCTCTAGCTCTTAACCAGCTTTCAACTGCAAGAGAGAAAGAGTCTATCTACTGTGTGTGTATGTATGTCTGTGCGCGAACGCGAAACTTCAAAAACAACTGCATCGGGCGGCGCGCCGTGCACGGTTGAATAGTAAAGCAGCAGTAGCAGCAAAAAGAAGGGAAAGAGAGAGAGAAAATCCGTTCATCTTCCACTCACGCGACACTTACTTAACTCTTTCTCTGCGTTGCGTCTCTCTCTTTCTCTCTAGACCATGCGCAGCAATACATACATATGTATGTAGGCTCACTGTGCGCGAAATGCTCGCAAACCCGTAAAGCAAAAGAAGCCATGCACTTTGTAAATACACACACACACACACACACACACACACACACACACACACACACACACACACATATACATACATAGTAGGCGTAGACCTATATAGATGAAAAAAAATACACGAGCTTGCACCAACATACCTATATATGTAACGATTTTTCTCTTTCTTTCTCGACAGAGTAAAACGGGACGTACCACCAGAGAGATAGAAAAAGCATAATAGCGCATACTAGTAGTACAAGCCAGTAAAAAAAAAGGAAAGTACATACGTACAAAAAACCCACACTGCCAGAAGAGAGCGACAGTGGCACAGCACCACCACCACCATCACCATCACCACCGAGAAGCGAGGGGTTGTTGGCATCCACGATGTGACTTGGTACAAAAGGGCGAATTCTCTCTCTCCCCGCCCGCCCGCCTCCCCCTCACCTCACCTCACCTCTCTCTTTCTATCTTCCGCACGTATAGCTTATACATATAATAGGCGGTAGGAGTGAGTAGCGGCAGCGACGGCAGCACATGGATTTCGCGAAAGATAAGGGCGGCAGAAGACGAAGAAGAAGAAGCAGCGGAGCATAGAGAGAAGACTGAGAACACACGCACGTCCGTGTGCGTGCGTGTGTGTGTTTTGCGAGAGGAGCGAAGAAGAGAGAGAGAGATAGATAGATACAAGACAGCAGTTTTGCAGCAGAAGAAGACGAGGCACTTTTTTCTTCTGCGCTCGGATCCCCGCCGCCCAAGCGTCTTCTTTTGGCTGCCAAGATGAAGCACATGCCGCTCGAATACTGCGGCTGCACGGCCATGGACCGGCGCTGCGCCGCTCCCATGATACCCTGGATCATCAGCGAGATCAAGAAGAAAAACGTGCCGCAGAAGGTGAGTGCGTCCAGTAGTACGATATATGTACGACGTAAAGCAATAAAAAAAAAAAAAGAACAAAAATCAAAAGCTCGAATTATATCACTATAAATTTCTTCTTCGTAACACGCGAGGAGCAACGCCGTACTCACCTTTATGTTATGATTTTACTCCAATTGTTCGTAGGCGTTGACGTATTCGAACGACGAGAATCCGAGCGGAAAATTAGAGTCAAGTACATTCTCGTTGATGTTACGTACATTTTTTTCAAACGCGAAAATAACGATACTGATTTTATCGTGATTGACCACGTCGATTGTTTTTTGCCATTTAAAAAGAAAAGAAAAATAGCGAAGTCATTTAAATTTCTTGTACGACTACGCGTGCCGTTTCACGCAATCAATTAATAAGAAATAATAATGGCCTGTCAAGGGGCTTTGGCGATTAGAAATTCACTTAGGAGCCGTTACACGCAGCGCGTCGATATGGATTATTGTGTACAGATTAGATAAGCCTTTTCCCCCGAGTTTATAATGGAGTAATAACAACTATACTATACTACCGCGCACGCGTTTCTCGATGTAGCAAACTATATGTCAATACAAAGTATAACTTTTGTAATCTTTCGCTACTTCGAAAGAAAGAGAGAAAGAAAAATCATTAATGGCAAAAAAAGTAAAAAACACCGCCGTCGTCGTTGTCGTCGTCTCGCTAATTGTACCGCTAAAGTAAAGTAAAAGAGGTAGGAAAAAAAAAGATTAGAAGCGCCGAGCCCCGTGCACGACCGCGTTGTGTCTCAACGCGAACGCTTTTTCAATTATTCGGAAAAAGATTGAAAAATATTTATTACGCAAGTGCAGCAGCAACGGAGCACAGTAGTAGTAGCAGTTGTATATATAGCTCTGCGCAGAGCGCGCGGCTTATTTAAGCGAGACAGCTTTTCAAGACTCGGAGCTCGCTCGTGCGCCTGCATGTATGCTGCAATACATATACAACGAGTCTCTGGCGTATGCAGCAGCAAACGAGTATTATATAGTTTATAAACGAGCGCCGCGCGGTGCGACCCGCTCAGTTTTGATATCTTTATGCCGTATGCGGCAAGAGTATAAACGTATATACGTATAATAATACCGAGGCGGAGGGTCGCGTCTCGGTCGCGAGACTACATGCAGCAGCAAAGATGAATTACGAATCGCTTCTTGCATCTAAATGCACGTGAAAGCCTAGTTTACTTTTTATCGTTTGTGTCGTGGCTGATGCTGCTGCTGCTGCATCGCCACACAGATACCGCACATGATGTGAAATCGGGCTCATGCAAATTAGATGTGTAGGCAATTGTACTTAAGAGACGCGATTACTTTTTTCTTTCTCTCTCTATTATTACCGCATGAAAATTTTAGTTACGCATTAAGATTATGATATAAATTTTTTTTCATTCACTTCCGAGTTTATCAAAAGTATATTATAGAGAGAACCGGGTAAGAGGACGATCGCATTAAGCTCGTGAAATTTTTATTAGTCCGGAATTGATATTACATAGTACATGAACGATGCAAAAACTTTTTTATACGCATGCCGTGCATATAGAGAAAAAAAGACTTCGCGTATACGTACATTACATATATACGTTACGCTGTATATATGCATGCCGAGGCGATATTGGTTGACGTCAAACCTTAAAGTAGCTCTCTCGAGTTATAGATCTTATAAACGTGCGCGTGTAAGTGTATACTGTACATGTAGCAGCAGCAGCAAGAGTTGTATCATAGCAGTAAAAAGAAGAAGAAAAAAACTCGGCTCGTGAATTATTTCGGACTCGGAAAAGTTGAAATTTTTTTTTTCCTCGTCGCCGGTGTGCAGTACAGTACTGCTGCTGCTGCTGTTGCTCGTCCTCGTCGACAACATCCGGCAAATTTTGTCGCGCTTTTTATCGGATAGGAAAAAAAAAAGAAGTTTCATACTTCGCCCCTGGAGGAAAATTTTTCGTCGTGTCCAATGTATTTTGAGCGAGAGAAATGAAAAGGGGAAGTAGTACAACAGGAAAAAAAAGATAAACTAAAATAAAGGGGACGCGTCATATTCAACGCCAACGTATAGGCATATACATGCGCCCGAGTTTTGAGAAATTGCATTTTCCACGAGCGGCGCTTATATCGCATAATATGCACGCGGGGCGTGGGGTTATATAGTAGCCGCAGTAGTGGTAGTGGTATGTTGTGTCGGAGCGGGTGTTCGCGCGCACGTCTTTCATTGTTTTGACACGATAGCTCATTATAAGTGCAAAGTCATGAAGGCGTTTGTGCGGTGGTGGTGCAGCCAGCGCAACCATCGTCTAATAATAAACAGCGGCGCGGAAGTTTACGGACTATCCTGTATACATTTATAGCAGTTCGCGCACACGTACTATACGTACATCGCCATTGAGATTGCATTACCGCTGCGCATACGAGAAATCCGATTACACTTCCATCGCTCACCAAAAAATACTATACCTGACGCTGTTCTCGTATTTAAACGAATCGACATTAGCGTGTTACGAACAAAAAACCTTTTTTTTATTCATTCCCAAAGCTTTTTAAGAGCGAGCTCTTTTCCGGCTCCGATGCTTTCACAAAAAAAACACAAAAACCCCTTCTTCCTTTGTGAAGCAACTTAATTAACGCTTACAGTAGTAGCGTAACGGGGGTCGGGCATCGCTCGAGCTGTTGTGTAGGGCGCGCGTAGCATGGAAAAACTCGAAAGCACACACACACACAACTGCGCTCCTCGTGAGCTTTTTCAACTCGCGGCATTTAAGAAACCTCTTTTTTACTTGGCCCCCTTCTGCTCTTTGTAGGTGAACGTGTTGGTGGCGTCGGGCGACGTATCGGCCTACGTGACGAACAAGGAGCAGCCGCTGTTTAGACATTCGTTGCGCGCCTGCCTCAAGCCTCAAGTCGCGCCGCCCGCCAGTCAGGACCCCAAGGGCGGCACCTTCCTCTACATGATCAAAGGCAACGAGGGCCTCTACTATTATCATCTCTTCAGGGCCAAAGATGCCGAGGCGGTAAGTCGTAAAAATTATTCTCTCCTTTAACTCCAAATGGCTTCCATAAGCTTTAACTTTAACGATCATCGCCGCCCGCACGCACGTGCGTGGCTCAACGGAAGAGAAAAATGGCAAATCAAACGAGAAAATGCACGAGTCGTCGTCGTCGGCGATATGAACGTTTGATTGTTTGACGAGATGAAAGAAGTTTCCTGAAAAATAAACCAACGGCTGATGGTCGGTTGCGTAAGCAATGAACTTGAGCGATTTGTGCAAGATGCACACACACATACGTATAATTTGTTTATGCGATTGAAAAGACTATGGAAAGAGAGAAAAAAAGATGCGCGTGCATGCGACGTTATAAATCTATTCAATGAACTTGATCTTGCGACGAGGTCGTAATGTATGCGCTACCGTCACACGCAGAGACCGCGAGATTCAAAAACCGATCAGCAGCGCGCGGTGCACATCGTCCGCAAGCTCGCTAGCTCTTTCTCCCCTATCTCCGAAAGCTCGTCGCGCGACAATGACGAATTTTCTTTTTCGGTTTTCATAATCTCTCCTTTATCTATATTTCCCAATGTGCGGTGTGGGCCGGGTATAATTTCATTGTCTCGTCGAGACAAAGCCCGCGCCCGTCGACGTCATAGTAGCGCTCGATTCCGCGCGTTGTCTAATTCATAAAATCACTCGCTCTTTATTCGCGCACATTATTATACGTACGTGCGCGTACGCATTTATGAAAACCGCGGCGCGCGGAGGGATGAAACACGAGCTGAGCGAATGATGACTACGATGACGATGATGATGATGATGATGATGCCGCGCGTCAGTCGGTATCAGCGAACGAGAGAAAGAAAGAACGAGCGAGCGAGCTTTGGCTTGGCTTTTAAAAGCACGAGGGCCAAAAATAGAAACACGTGCAGCGCACACTGGCTGCGCGTGAAAATGCGTAATTTTCTCGCTAGAGCTGCGCGAGATGTACCTGTATCGCTTACACGTATATGCACGCGAGCACATACGTATGTAATAAACTGAGTCAGTGAGCAACGGTATAGAGCATGTGTAGCTTTAAAACCTAATGCACCGAAGTCGTGCGCACATAAAGCTCGAGGTTTATATTCCTACTATACGCGAGCTTGCACGATGCAAATGTTGCGAGATAGAAGAATTATAATCATCGTCTCGATACGTGCGGGGGTGGAAAATTTTTGAGCTCGCTCGCGGCCGAGCTTTTGATTGCAGCGACCGATCATCGCGTATCCGCGAAGGATATCGATCGTCTTAAAACTTTCACTCGCGGCCAAGATAAACAACGAGCCGCGGGCGCGATCGGTGCGTAATTTTCTTTCTTTTCTGTTCTTACGCGCGGCTCGTCCGCGCGTGTGTAACACATTTCGGACTCGCGCCGGGCGCGCATTTGAAAAGGGTAAATATTTACGCTCGAGGTAAACTTTCCGTTGCCGCTCGTTAAAGCTCGTCTAGTTTCGAAATGCTTACGGCTGAAAATTGTATAACCCTCGCGGCCAGAATAATACCCAGACAACCTTGAGGTCAAACGGTCCTCCCCTCGTCGGCGATTTTTTTTTCGGATGCCATATATATATGAATTATGGCTATCGGTGCATGAATCGAGTAAGAGAGAGAGCGATAAAATTACAGTACGAAACGGGACAAATGAGCTTTGAATTTTTCTCCGCGACGGCAACAGCGACCCCGCGCCATCGATTTGCCATTATTATTCGTTTTAGGACTGCCGGCCCCAATATACATTATATTATGCGCGGATGGCTGGTAATAAAGGCTTCGATGCGCGAGGCCAGTCGCGCGTTTATGTATATAAAATGGAAAGAAAAATGATCGTACGGGATAATTAAGCTCGTATAAATTTGCCACGGTAATTCGGTTCACGAGTACGACATCTCGCGTAAATAAAATATGTACAGTGAAAATCACATAATTCGAGCTCATTTAATTCGAATTATTGCATAATTTTACCAACAATTGGTACCAGCTAGGAAATGTCGCATGAATCAAAAAGTTTTATTGATAATTTTGTGAATTATGACAAATTTAAACTTCAAATTTAACACTTTTTTCAAAATCGAAATCTACGCTAGAAATTTTTATAAATCTTTATTTATCATCAACAAATCTCGTCCTAAGCGAGTAAAACATCAAATAATACCCGAGTTGGCGCTAGATGTCGCGTTCCTAAAATTTAGGAACCCATAAGAGAAAAAGCAAAGTTTCATGATTAATTAAGATATAGAAATATAAAAATATAGCAAAAATACTTTCAAATCCCTGGTAGAAATCATCAGCATTTACTGACCAGTTAATGCTCAAGTAAAATCGAACTGGTCAGTTTATAAGTCAGTTACTGCCCAACTTCGCCATAAACCTTGCTAAAAACGACATGATATTGGCGCTCAAACTGGTCAGAAACTGCTTAATTTTGATAGGGTTTTGAGTCATTTAAAATGGTTAAGAACTGCTCAAGTCCGTGCGCGGTCGTCAGCTGACCGCTCGTCGGCACTATATTTACACCCTACCTAACCTCGGTTAAACTTTTTTGTAAACATTCGGCAAATGTTCACGACATAGTCGATTAAACGTTTAGTATAATCAATAAGAATTATCAGTCAAGTCAACTTGAAAACGTTCACATGCATCGAATGAAACTTGAACCACTATTCCTAGCTGGTGTATCGCAAACGAAAAATTGTATACGCTGTGTAGTATTTGTTCTTTGTTAAAATTCCGTTAGAACGCCGATTTATCTCATTAATGAAATATTTATTGATTTACTTGATTTGAAAGGAGAAGCAAGTCATATGTACGTGAATTTGCTATCAGAATCGTCAGGAATAAGGATGTTTAAAATTATTTCAATATTTGTTGACGTTTTTAAAAATGTTTTTGAACATTTAGGGAAGTTAGGAAGTACGTGTCTTCCCATTATTTTCAACATCGTTTCTTATTTTAGCAATTCCCTTATCTTTCTATCTTATGCACGTGACATAAAAGTGTCTTAAACGTGGTATAACACTCTTTGTTTATGTTTACTACAGTTAACCTAAATATTCGATTTTGCCTTGATCATTTTCAATGGCCAGTTTCTGACCATTTTAACGGCTAATTTATGAGCTAAAACTGACCAGTTGTACTGACTAGTTTCTGCTCATCTGAGCATTTTAAATGCTTAATTTTCTACCAGGGATTACATGACTAATTAAATAATTATCGCACGATTCAAGTTCGAGTGGTCCTCAGAACTATTTTATCAGTTTGTATACGCGACTGCGAGGATCGATTTCAAGGAAAAAAGAGAAAGAAAGTTTGTTTTGAATAATAAACTCGTCGCGACGGTAACACAAAGTTTTTCCGCTTGTGTACGTACATTTTCCGCGCGTATCAAAATGCAATAGCTCCCCACGAAAGTATGTGTGTGTGTGTACGTCGAATAGCCGCAAACATTAAAACGCCGCCGAAAATTTATGCTCCCCGCAGTACAGTTCTCCCTACTTATAATACTCCGTCGCGGTGGCTTTCGGTAACAAATGGCGCGCGCGAGAGCTCGAGACTCTCGTCGCACGCGTCTCGTAAATCTCGCGCACCGAAACTTTTTATCCTCCGAACGTCGCACACAACAACAACAATTACACTTAATTCTGTAAACACATCGAGCGCGTCTGTTGTTTGCGATGATTCTTGGACGCGCCGAGTTCGCGTGTACGCATTAATGTGTGTTTGTGTGTCGCTTAACTGCGACACGTGTGTGGGGTTTGTTTTTCATTATAAAAGGGGATGAATTTAATGCGCTTACATACGCGCCGAGAGCGTGACGATGAAACATTTGGAGTAATGAAATTTTAGGCTCATGTCCAATAGTCACGAGAACGTCAGTCACACACACACACACACTCGTGCGAATGCAAATCGCCATATAATTAAAAATAAAGAAGGTGAATAGGCCTTATATCCGTTTGACACGTAGCCGCTAAAAGCTAATTAACATTCGGGTATTATACGTTAGTTTTGGCATAGTAAAAACGTTTTAATTTTTCTTTTTTCTAACGCATACAATGTGATCTATCGAGATGAGAGCTTTTGCCGCTCCGGTTGTAGAAAAAAAATATACTGTACAACGGCATTGCACAATTGACAATGATATACGAGCACTCAACAGATCAAAACATCATAATCATTAGTAATTACACTTGCTTTAATAACTGCGCAGTAACGTACGAGAACGAAGCAAAAAAAAAATGTTTTTTTTTCCCAAGTTCGAAACCCAGGCAGATGAGACATGCAAGATACACGCTTCCGGATGCTGAGAGTCGTATTAACGATCCGATAATTGTTTGTATGCGGAATTGCAAAAAAATCGTCGTATAGGTTTTTAGTGCCGCTGACGACAGGAAAATAAGGAAAAATTTTCTCGCATAATATTGCCCTTATTTCGAATAGCTCGCGCAACTGCGAGAGATCACGTGCACGCACTCGCATACATTGCATCTGCTTTCGTCGACTTTTTGACGAAACTACCGAAACAGTTTATTAATAAACCTTTTCGCGGTCGGCAAAATAGTCGCGTGCGCGCGGCAGATTCAATAACTTCCATATACGAAATAAGAGAGAGAGATAATATTAATAGAATTCTTCATGCCGAAATGTACGCTCGATGCAGAAGACGTGTGCATATATACCGAAAAGCTATATATAAATAATGAGAAGAAAATGAACGAAATCAAATATACAAAAGGCGGTCGAAAGCTCCCCCGGAAATGCATGCGCGTGCAGAGCTACATCTTTCGGGCCGACAACGACGACGACGACGACATCGACGATGATGATGCTGCATCAGCGCCCGCCCGTATATACAGATATACTTATCCTCACGCGAAAACAACAATGTATATAATATCATCTCTGCATAAGGCAGAGAAGACGAAATATTCCAACCTCTCCCTGGAGATAATACACACATTTTATTCGGGCTCGCGTAATCA